CAAGAAGGGGGATGCTCTTGACAGCATAGAGGCACATTCTTAATGTTTTTCAAACTTTCTGACACACTTTTATCTGTTATGAGACCATGACAAAAATGTTGCAAGCATTTTTGTGAAATCTTAGTCTCATTTTCTGACCAAAATCTTATGAGAAAATGACAGCAAAGATTGAAAAGTAGGATTTCTTGCTTTCACAGGCACTATGCTGTCTGAAATCATTCCCAAAAGAATGAGGATGAGCATGAGCAAGGAAATAGCAAATATACCTCACTAGAAAGCTTCTAAAACATTTTCATTTTTTATTCGTAATAGTTACTATATTTTTCAAGAATTTTCCACCAAGCATGGAATTTTGCATTGAGCTTTGAAGATTATTCAAGAGGACAGTTGTTCTTTTCTGGTTTTCACAAGCTTGGCCTAGAGGTCCATTTGAAGACTGAACACTCGATGTTGCTGGGTGCATTGGTTTTGTTTGTGTAATCTGAGTGAAGGCTTACCTTCTTTGACTTTCTCTTGCAGGAGGTCTTACTAACTTGGAATTAACTTGATATTACCTATAACTGTAGGTAGCCAATTACACTTAGAGCATGATTGTGAGGGAATTATTCTGCAGACTTCAGAGAAGCTGCTTGTACATTTCCACCTTGGAGAAGCATCAGAATATGGCCCTGTTCACTCAGACCAAACAATGTGGATATTCTTACTGATATTAAGGTAACTTGTGTTGATTTACTCCACAGATGATCCTTTGGACTCAGATCTCAGCTAGCGTTAATTGATGTAGCTCTGAATTTAATTAAACTTTGGAAGCTCTCACTGCCTGAGAATCTGTCTGTCCTGTAGGTTGCTTTAGGAATAAGCTTATATTTGGCTTGATCTATTCACAATTGAAATTTATGCTTTAACTGAAGGTAAATGATGGCTATTTAGTGATTAATATCCTGTTATCATGCCAAGTCAACTTCAGATGTGCTGACTTAATTTATCACTAAACAGCACTTACTGTCTAACTGTAATTATAAGAAAAAGCACATCATTTGGACCTTTGAGCGATCATGTGGTCAGACCACCCCTTAAAGTTTGCCTCTAATTTTCTATAAAGCTAGGACTTTCTTCTCTGGGGAGATCTTTGCAAGTCCTTTGCAAAAAGGAGAATCATAGGGAAGTGGAGGCTGCAGTTTTGAAGGCAGTTTATGAAGCTGAAGCTGAGATGGGACACTTTCAGAAAGATCAAAGGCAGCAGCAAGATAATTTTTGTTAGACAAAAAGATCAATTGCTAATTATGACATTATCACAGTGCAGGCATGTGTGTGTGTATTTATGTGTGTGTGTAAGGATTAGTGGTGGGTAAATTGTAGTCAAGCAAGGTGCAGATGGGCCAATCATGAATGTAACAAGGTTTAAGTCTCAGGGACCCTTAAGGAAAAAGGATGTAGTTGCAGTAGGTGCCATGATCACCTTCGCTTCTTTTGGAAAAGATAAGGACTTGGGCTGCTTTGAACATTCTCAGGGTCCTACTGAGTACTGCTTGCAATGGTGTGATTCACCACTGCATTGAAAGAAATTTTTCTTCCACCCAGCTTCAATAATTCTTTCAAGGGGAATGCAGCGAGGACCTCATTGTACAGCACTGTGTTTTGAGAGTGATTAAGATGAAATTTCATGTCTGCTCAGATGTACTGTGTTTCGGGGGCAAAAATATTCTGTATGTATGTTCTTTCTTCAAATAACAGAATTCCTCCAAGAAAACAAAACCTGCTTGCTTCAGCTCTGAAAGGCAGTAAAGAGGTGAGATTGCCTGCAGTTGGGTCCATGCCTGTCTATTTCCAAAGGCAGGGAAATTATAATTTTTTAGAAATTCCCTGAGGCAGCAGTAGCCAAGCCAAGTTGGCTCTAGCCAGCTCTTGTTTGTAAAATGTAATTCTGTGGTAATGAGCTGGTGACAACTTGAAGAAAAGAGTCTAAACATCCTGAAAACAATTCCAAACATGACTAAATATGAGAAGAAAACTTCTAATAACTGCCTCATGGGAATCAAGAGCAGTACATGCAAATCCAAACATCATTTATTTTCCAGACAAGAATATATACGTTATGATCCTCTTCCTTTTTTTTTTCCTCCCTGAATATATATGTAGGTAAGTATATATCTCTATACCTGTTATTTGTCTCTCCAAATGACCTATATTTCATGCAGGAGTTAGCAGTTTTGTCATTGTTGGAAAAAACAGAAATTGAAGTCTTAGCCAACACCTGATGTGACCACAGGAGATGTAAACTGATTAAAGCTCTGTAGTGATGATCTATCTGCCTGGAGATTTTTATGCTACAGCGTTTTGATTCAACAATTCATGAGACGCTAGGCAACAATGCATCAAAAATAGCCAACTAATACAGAAGAATTTGCATTGTTTATTTTAGCAAAACATGAAATAACCAATATATTGTATACTAAGTGGAATCAAGCTGGTTTGTTATCTCTGAAACAATCCACTGTATTCCTAAGCAACATAACATACTCTTCTTCTGATGTTTCCCCTTACCAGTTTATGGCTTGGCCACCGAAGCTGATATAAATTTCTTTCACTCCTGATATGTTAAGAGGCAAAGAATTTTATTTCAGTTTAAGGCACTATGAAGAACTGCCGCAATAATGTTGAAGGCTCCATAGTCTAAAAATGTAATTTCTTAGAATATGAATACTGGTTTTTGGACCTAAGGAACACAGCATCCTCTATGTAGCCCTGTTCCATGTCCCAGACCTCTAGACCACTTGCACTGAGTGTAATTTCTTACAAAACCATGTCTGTTTTTACCTCCTGAGCAGTGAAAACAATCTTAGAGAAACCAACGTATTGGGCTTAAAAATTTCAGACCAGTGTCAGACTTCAGAGGCAGCTTGCTAGGGAGTTACTGTTGTATGTGTGTGAGTGAAACTGCTTGCATTAGCAGTCTTAGTTCAAAGCAAGTCAGGCTGTAAGACAGCTTGCCAGGGGTTGAATCCTAAGTGTTACCTGTTAATGGATAAGCAGGGCACTAACACTCAAATCCTGTTACTCAAACGGTAATCACAAGCAAGAGTGTTTATAGTGGAAACCTGAGACTCATCTGAGGCATTTGAATAGCATGTTATTAATGATCCCATTTTAAGGAAGTTCTTGCATAAAAGAATTACTAAGAGAGCATGTGATGACTCATTAAACAGAAATTCAGACTTCATTTTGCTTTGTACAGCTTGTCTAGTGCCCATGTTTAATACTTTAGAGTTCTTCCAGAGTAATGGGAATGGGGGGAAGGCATATTTCAGAGTACACTGGCAATTTATTTTTTTACCATAAGGGATTTCTGTCTCTAACAATTATGCTAGATGAATCTGATAACCATTCAGTAACACTGAGATGGATTTTTACCACAGTAATTACTTTTGTGGTGGTTTGCTGCAGAAGATAATACAATGCAGTGGGTGGCTATTCTGTGTCTTGAACATCCACATTATCTTCTCACCAGATATAGTCTTGAAAACTTTTTATGGAGTCTGAGAGAACAGAAATATAGCTGGATGTTCTCAGAAGTAGAAAAACAAGAGCAACAAATTTTGGGAAAAACAGACTCAGTTGTAAGATCCTTTGTAGCAGAGACTGAGTTGGCCCTTATGGCTGCTGCAATATTAAAAGGAATAATAATTCCAAGCATTTAATGATCCAGGATCCCAGTCCTATCATCTTCTCTATGGTAGCCAACAGTAAACTCATTAAAAGCCTCTCTTCAACATTCTGAAATTACCACTTAACACCAAGAGTGATATCATTTTTTATACCACTGTGTTGCAAATCTATTTAACTTCCAAATACCTATGCCCACTGTCTTTGTAAGCACATGGATAAAGGGGAGCTTTATCAGGCTGTGTGAACATGTTTTGCTTTGTTTTGTTGCAGCAACAGAGCACACTCTTTGCAAGATTGATATAAGAAATTTTCACTCTTGTTGTCTGACCAGAGTATCAATGCTTCCTGCTGATGAATGTGTGTGTTCAGCATAGCTGCACTCCAGAATTTGCTGGTTGGGTTTACAGTTGAAAATCCAGTAACATCAGGTGTTTTTCCTCACATTGATTCCTCTTATTCAGAGATACAAAGCTTTTCACACTAGTTGGTTAAGTAAGCCTCACAGATTCAATATTAGTGCACCTTGTGAAGCAAAGTTGGAGGGAGCTGCCTGGGGATAGCCAGTGAGTCAGCAGCAGGGCTGAAAACACTCAAGGAGCCCTCGGAGGTAATAGCTCTTATCCTTTTGACCACCAAACTGCAGTAAGTGCTTGCTTAAGTGCTCGGCTGCTGTTGAACCTTGAACTTTCAAGGACATCAGGATAGCAGATAAATGCTGAGCAGACATCTATTTTTTTTTCAGCGGAGGGGAATTAGCAGCCAAAGGGTTAATGGTACTTGCTGGAAGACTGCAGCAATTGAATGCTCACTGCCTCAGCCCTGGGGCCTTTCTCTGAGGGTTTTCGGGAAAACAAGGCCAGGACTCTTCGAGGGAAGATAAAAGGTTCAAACACAGAGGTTTCTTTTGCAGCGTGGCAAAAAACAACTGTATATTCATTTGCATTGTTCAGGGAACTTTTATTCAGTTGCAGTTCCAACCCTCTTGATCATACTGCTGAGTGTTCAAGGCCAACAACTGGAGAGTCAGTGGTGGCTATTGTAGCTGGGCAGTGCCCTGACGCTGCCAGACAAGAGAGGGGATCCTGCAAGCCTCTGAGGACAGCCCTGCTTTATGCTGCTGGCAGGGAAATTTCCTTTATGAAGAAAAATCCTTTTCTTTCCTCTCCTTCGTTCTTTGAAATAAGATTTGCTCAAAGCCCCTCCCAAGAGGTATGTCTGTGTTGAAAGGGCACTGGGCAAATGTAAGCCCTTGAATATGGGAAAGCATAGGCACATGATGTTAATGGCATTACTTGCTGTGCTTTAAATTAATCACTTATGTATGTCTTTTGCAGAGCCAAGACTATGATGAGCTGTCAGCCAGTATAAAGCAGAAAAAGGGCAGATTTTACAGTTGCTGTAGATGCCTGATATCAGCTTCTCTGGAAACATTCTAGGATATTTTTGGTTCAAGATTGAGAAGTCACCAGATAAATTATTAGCCAGTTGAATCCTACTTATTTTACATATATGAGCAAACTACACTATTGAAACAATATTCTGCACTTAGCGCTGTCAGAGGATATTCACACATTGTTCTTAATGTGTTGTTTCTTTCCCAGAGCAATATTAGTTTAGATGTTTTAAACATGAACCTGATTTTACATCTTCATTTGCAGCCTGTTTTGCCCAGTATTGACAAGATGTGAATCTTCTTTCCACCATGAAGCTGCAGGCCTGGATTCTCACTGTTTACCTATACTGTTGTACAAATTATGTCATTATACTGGTCTAAAAAATGTCAATAAAGGAGTTTTAATGGGTTTTGAGAGTGTGCAGACTGCTTGTAATAGACTAAATGCTGCCACCGGGTTTTTTTATGCAACATTTTTTGGAATCTGGCTCAGATTACCAGAAGAGTTGTTAATTTTGAATTTGTTTAGTTTAAAAAGAAAGAAATGCAAACACAGAGGAGACAATGCCTTAAAGTAGAGAAGAGTGCCAGGTTGTTCTCATTTAAGAAAAACTTTTGTCCCTTCATATCTACCTCCAGCTGGATCTCTGTGAGAAAATTGCCAGGCCCTTTAAAGACACTAAAGGGGAAACCTTTGCTAAGACTGCCCTTCACCCCAGCTCCTGAATGTCTTTTGATAATGCTCTGCAGCTTCCTAAATATGCCTATGAAAAAAAAAAAACCAACCCAAAAACCCCTCACAAAGCAGAAGCAAAAGAATTCTCCTGAATGCTCCTGAATGACCTACTGTGCTGCACAAGGGAAGGACTAGCTGATTTTATCATGTGCTGCTTTCCTTGCTCTTATCTTAGAACATTTAATGTCTCTTTTTTCCACCTACATATTGTTATGGTGATCCCTGGTTTCCTCCCCCTCCTAAGTTTTTCCCTCCCCCTCCCCAGTGGCAGTAAAGCCAAAGGGAGAAGGAACCTTTAAGAAGTGGTGTAATTATTAACTAATTTTGGTCTTGGGAAGGAGGGCAACCAAAGTATTTCCTGTTTCCTATAATTAAGGACTCAAGACTCAGTTCTGCCACACACACACACACACAGAGTTTATTTTTAATGTACTCTCCATGGAATATAATCTGCTGCTTAATTTCTATATCTTCGGCCAAATTCATAATTGGTGTAAATAGCTGTTACTCAACTGACAAGTCCTAAAATGTGTGTGAGGGAAAATGAGGTTATAAGGTTTCATCGGCTCACATCAGGAATACATTTGTCCTGTTTGTTCTTCCCCTTCACCTCCTAGTGATCTTGGGAATAACAGCAGTGGAGGCAAAGAAGTCCTGAGCTATGCTGAAGCAGAACAATTTGGCCTTGGATACTCAAAAGAACTGGTCAATCTATATATCCATGGGGCAGGTCATGGACACTTGGCTATAGATACTAAAGATGAGAGATCCCATACATCCTGCTGGTAAAATTTCCCAACAGGGTTTAAGAGCTGCATAAGGAATCTAAATGTGTAAATACTGGGGTGGAAAAATGAGATGCTATAATTTGGAATGACCTGAATAATTTCATTGGAAGATTCCCATGCAAGTTGTTGAACATACTATTGGAACTCAACAAATAGCCAGATGCATGTAGGTTTTAGTGTATTTTATGTGATATCTGTCTTCCTGTGTGTCTAAATGCCTCATCCTCCCTAGAACAGGTTGGCTGAACCATTTTTCGAACGGTTCCTCATTTTTGATCCACACTTGAATGTGTTGCTATTGAGAGCTGTCACATCAATGTACACAGAACACCAACACCTTGTCACAGTTAGACTTCCATTAATGCAGGTTTGGTACTGGAAACAGTAAAGTGATATGGTTTTGGAAGTGGGTACTAATGACTAGCAGACAGAGGAGGACATGAGTGTGACTGTAAGCTCTCCTCTTACCAGCTTCATTATGTTTGGTATCCCCACTTTTCATTTTCTGGGGCACTGAGGCTATAAAAAATAGCAACAATAGTAGAAAATATCCTTCCCAGTCACCCTTCCTCAAAGAAGAGGCCTGAGTAGTGATAATAGAGAATATCTACCTCTTGCTTTTCCATTTGAGGACTTCTATATTGTTTTATATTTCATTTTATTTCACACTAAAGTGTTTGCCTACTTGTGTTGCCTGCAAAGGAACATATTTCTAAGGTATACTCCCAAGAGGAGTCAGATTTGTTCAGCAGCACAAATCTGTTTGCAGTGCATAAATATTATTCCACTTTAGCAGCTCTTTTGCAATGATACTTGTGACTTTGACTGTCACCTGCCCATATTTGAGTAGCTTCTTTTTACAGTATGTTTATTCATTTTTTTGTAGCTCAAGTAATTAATTCTTCCTTACCCTCAAACACTAGTTACTCCTCAGCAAAACTTAGGCTGCTATGCCCCATTTAAACTCACACCATTTAAACAATATTGATTTCATAAAAAGCAGGAAAAGAAGTTTGAAAGCAGCAAAACCAAAGTGGAGCTCAGTAACTGTGACTCAGCAGCACCAAATTCTGGTGCAAATTTAAACCCCATCTTTTTGGTTGCAGCACAGGTGAATGAAGTGAATGACTAGTGCCAGCCTCAGAGTTTTAAGACAGAGTGATTAGAAAACTTTGGCTACATGGCTAGCAATTTCTCCACTAGATTTTAGGAGATCTAGGTTTGGGTTTCTATTTGGAGTTGATAAGCAATGTGACAGCCAAGGACATGACCTTACTGATGTGCTGCTGTCCTGTGACACAGACATGGTCATGCGGACATTCAGGGATGCCTCCAGCAGCTGCATTACTTTAGCAGCACAACCCTCAGCAGTGCTTGAAATAGAGACATTTTCAAGGTAACAGTGCCTGACAGATTTATTACGCATCCATACCCTCAAATCAAGGGACTTGGCTATGTGGACCATTCTGAAAGTGAGGAGAAAGGACCACTTTGCTTCAGTTGTCTGCTTATTGAATGCTGGAAGATTTTAACTGCAGAATTAATCTTGCTATATTATAAGAGAAGAGTTTCACCCCTTCCAACCTGTGAATTCTTTCCCAAACCAAGGGTATTCACTAATAGCTTATTCTTCATACTCTATGTAGGTCATTTAGCCTGTGGGCTTGTGGTGATCACAGGTTGGAAATGATGGTTTTGGAAAACGTGCATCTAATTTCTTCCCTTATCTGCCTACCTTCTCAGGAGTCTGGCATGGGAAACCACTGGGGCCTCACTGCAGGGGTACCTCGAGGCTGCTTTTGTTAGGCAAAATTTAGTTTCTCCACCAAGTGTGGTGTGCAGGGTACATGCCCTCTCTGTCATGGGAGGAGTAAGGACACAGCCAAGGGAAAAGGAATGTCAGGGAAAGCTTTAGACAGTCATGCTTTGTGGGGAAATGGAAAGGGAAGGAGCAGCAGTGCTGCATCTGGGGCATCTGCCACTTCCTCCTGCTCCCTGCTTCTTACTTTGGCAGCAGCAGCAACAGCCAGACTATTTTTGTGGGGAGAAAAAGAAGGACAGTTGTGCCCTGGCCTTTGTGTCTCCACCTACAGCTGCCTCCTTTGTGTGTAGCTATAGCTGCATACACACAGACAGAACACTGTGCAGCTAGGTATTGCTGGCTGAATCCTGTACAACCCACCACCCAGCAGACAGGATGTTTTAATCCCATGTTAAGTATTCCTTGGTTTCCTCTGTACTTACTTTCTCGAGGTGGATCTAGCTTGTACTCTGGTCTATACGGGGAATTTGTATGAGCTTTACGTGTGCAGATAACTTGGGCATCCCACTGTAAGCTCAGTTCTCTTTGATACGTGTACTCATGCAAACCTGTTTTGCCCATTCTGGGGATATTTGAGCAAAGAAGCAGAACTGTATTCCCTGAGAGAAATGATACAGCTGTTCACCACTAAGGCTGGAGCTTAAAGGAACAGTGTTATATACCATTCATTTATTCCATTTACAAGATATTTTCTTCTTTTCTAGTGTTAAAAGAATAATGGTTAAAGTGTGGTCCTGCTATAAAATAACCATGGAGACTATATATGTATATTTTGTCTATGTGGGTTTTTTAAGTAAACTGTAAAATGAGATAAAAAAAAAAAAATGTTGTGAATAGTTTTCTGCCATGCAGAATAATGAGTTATGACTTCCAAAATGAAATGGAGCCCTCGAGCTGCTTCGTCTTTGTCCTTGAAACTTCCAAAAAGCTTGAATCAAGGTCTACAGGAAACTTTTTCCCCCTTCCTTGCAGCTGAGCTTCTTAGAATCGCATACACATTTTTCTATTTTTACTTTCTGACCTGGGCCCATTTCCAAATGCAAAGCTGAGGAATTCCTGCACTCCTACATATGTGAGACCCAGACTGAACTCACAGAGCTGGCCAGTTTACCCCCCTTTTCCTCCCAGACAGCCTACTTTCATCACAGTGCACAATTGAAATTGGAGACCACTTGGGTTTCCTTACTTTGAAAAAGCTCAGAAAGAACCTTTGCAAGTCCTGATGAAAGGCTGCAGAGAGGAGCTGAAATTAAGTCATCAGAGTTCACAGTTTGTCTTGGATAAGAGCCTAATTCAGTTTATAATGCAAAGCCTATGCTGCAGTTCCAGCACCAGGTAGGTTTGAGCTGTTCTCCCTGTGCTGTCTTAAGAGCTGTAGAGTGCTTTCGTGTATTTTCACCACTCTGTAAAACTCTGGTGCAGTGGTAAGCTCCCCTCTTTCTCTGTTATTGGCGGAAGAAAGATGTTGTCATTGTCTTTTCCCTTGAAAGGGATGACAAGCTTGATCTACAAGCTGGGCTGGCGTGGGGGAGGAAGGAGAGCAGAGCTCCCTTCCCCCAGCTGCTGTTTGTCTGACGCAGAGCTTGTACTTCAGTTGTTATCAGCTGCTTTGGTAAGATCACAATGTGCTGGAATTGCTTAGAAGGTTAAAATATGTTGACTGAATTTTCTTCAGCTACCAATGTAAAAGGCTAGCTAATAGCATCGCCAGCTGTCAAAAGCAGCCAGACCTTGCATTTCTCATGGTAATGAAACACACCAGAGTTTTTCATGGCTTATATACATCATGATACCTATGCTGTGTATGTCATGTCAGGGAACAATGGACATGGGCATGTCAGGGAACAATGGGCATGCCAGCCAATAGATCCATCAGGGCTTGCAAACAAACACACAACATTGCCTCTCTCTCATTTCTGTGAATTACTTGGTTTGTATTGACTTGTGATGATGTATAGAGAGAGATGAGGACTTTTAATTTTGGACCTTTTTCTCCTAGTCTGAGTCCCATAATTCTTAGCTTCTGTAACAGATACCCTGCTGTTTGCCTTGGTGACCTCTTG